GTTTTGCTAAAATTTTAGGGCTGAACAGACTCTTGAGGGTAGTGACTACCTCAACAACAAACTTGAAAGCACAAGCAACATAAGCATTGCCGCTGACGACAATCACAATGTAGACATTACTGATCCGCATGTAAAAGAATGAGCAACCACCAATCTGCTTTACAGGACAAGTACCGAGTTCTTTTGTTTGCATTGTATGCGTCCAGAATGCATCAACCATATATTTTCCCTGTAAGGTTTAGAAAAATTGACCGTGATTCAGTCGTAAGTAACTTCTGAAGTCTCACATCCCCAACAACAAGCAGGAAGTGTTATTAGGCCAGCATCTGGTTGAAATGGAGATCACATCTACTTCCAAAGCTTTACCGACACACAATTGTTAGCCTACTCATATTCCAGACACAAAAAGAACAGGCCTCGCGCATTAAGCATGAATTAGCCAATGCTCATCTCTCAGAGTCATAAATTCATAAGCCATGATGCCAAAAAAGATGGAGGCCAACTTATTTCATAAATTGTAAGCAGTAACCGCCTATATGAATGGGAAAAAGATGAAGTAAGGGAATAAGCAAGCGAAAGTATAATAGTTACCTGACATCGCCGCCATAGAGGCGATCAATGAGGACATTCCCTCAGAGGTTTAAGAAGTACATAGCAGAAGCAGCCACCGGCATGTCCGATCCACCCTGTCGATCAGATTCTCCGATGAAGAGACTCCAAACTAACGGCGAGTCCGTTGAGAAGGTGTCGGATCCATAATTTCCAGCGTGGGCCTCACGAATAGAGGGCAACAATGATGCGATCCCAGCTAATAGCGGCCCAGTGCTCCCTCCGAGGAAGAGTAATTAGAATCGGTCCGAACGAATTTATTTGAATTCACCCGGTTACATAGCAGGAGGTATTTCCACGGAATAATAAAATCCATTAAATTAAAATATGAAAATTTAAAAAACAATTTTTTGAATAAAAAATCAATAAACTTTAGCAGACATGTCCGACGTGGCTAATTGTCCTCGTTGTTCTCTGGAGCTGGAAGTTTTTTTTTGGTTATATCTGGAGCTGGAAGTCTGTTCTTTTTTTTTCCCCTCCTTTTTTACGGCCTATCTGATTGTTAATCATGTTTAAATCAAATACTTTAGTGTTCAGTGATTATGTTCTTTACTAGAATTTCGATGATATTAAATGGACGAGCATGAAACATTGAAACTTCACAGTATGTATTTTTCTAATTAGTATTTAAGCATGATTATGCCTTCGTAGGATTCTGACACGTCAAGACCAGCATGAAATTATTTAAATGAGAATATTATGTGCTTGAAAGGTAGGTGACATTTTAATTTAGTGTGAAGAATAAACATACTGAGCATAACAGTGTGAATTTGAGTAGGAATAATAATGCCTCTTATTCCAAATAAGATTCTCGTGAATCCTGACAATTGGATATGCGAGTATATAATACTTGACGTCTTGACCTGGTCCTGGCTTCCAGGGGGCTCCCAGTGACCGCGATATATCAGATTTTTTTTTTTCAGCTTTTTTTTTTGGCTCTTTTCAATTTTATGTATATTATAATATACTACTTTCGATCATAAATATAAGAACTAGTTAACTAATTTGAGTAAATTAAAAAAATAAATTAAGTTAACTATTTGTAATAAATATGTGTTGTCTTTCCTAAAATATTCTTACTAATCAAATTTATTGGTTAGAACTATTATTATTAAAAAGACTATTTTAAAAAAAATTAATTAAATATAAGAGATAAAATAGATTAAAATTTTATATTAAGGACCAAAATAAAAATCCAATGAGATATTATATTAAGAGTGTGTTTGGGATCACGGTGAAGGTCCTCAAACTGACTTCTCCACTGGTAGAAGCTGAAAAAAGTGGCTTCTTGTTTAAAAGAAATGTTTGGATCCACCGTGAAGATAAATGGAATTATGCGGAAATGGACTTTTTTTCATAAGCTGCTGCCTTCAGCTTCTCCGCTTTCAGCTTTTCCATCTTCCTGCATCTTCTCCACTACACCCTTCGTGGGGCCCATGAGTGAGGAAGGAGAGAGAATACATTATGTGAGTTCTTTTTCTTTTTTTTCAATCCAGCCAGTTAGTTTTCAATATTAAAAAATTATTTTTTGAATAATAAAATCATTTTTTAAAAATAAATTATTTATTCTTGAAAAAATAAATATTTTTATTTTTATAATTTTAATTTTAATTTTTCTCTAACAATTATCAAATTATAAATATATGAAATAAATATATATTGTTTAATAAAGTTTATGTCCTTTTCAGTCATTTTACATTTAAACTTACTTTTACATTTATCATCCAAACAAGTTTCAACTTCTCAAACTGACTTTTTTCTAAAACTCAATCCAAACATAAATCACATTACCCTATCTGACTTTTACTCAATCTGACTTCTATAAAAGTCAGATTGAAAAAAAGCTACTTCTACCACCGCTATCCCAAACACACCCTAAGTATTGAAGGTAGTGGTAGATAGAATAACGTGCTGCTTCACCCAGCCGCAGCCGCTATCAGTAGTCAAACTCATTTATAATTGTAGGCAATGTTGGCTTTTTCCCCAAAAAATAAAAAGAATATTCAAAAACATTTCTTATCGATTCAGAAAATTTCTAAATTAATGTTTTGAAAGTGTTTTTTTTTAAATTATTTAACTAAATAAAGGTGCAAGTACGGAAGATTAATAATTTAATATTGAGTATTAGAAGCAACAGGGATGAAAGGAAGGAGTGATTAGAGTGAAAGAAAGTGGCATGGTGGCAGGAAACAGGAAAGGCGATGTTGAAGTGCATGGAAAAAGAGGTGAGGATGTGCTGTGAAGGTGTAAAGCGTGAAAGGAACACGGCGTAGTGGCTTAGGCAGATCGCTATCACAAAGACCTTGAGCAGAGAGAAAAAGTACAAATACTTTGGGTCCCACCATGGTGATAGGTTTTGGTATTGTTGCGTCAATTTTCAAATCCGAAGACAAACATGCATCCCAGTACTTGAGAGAGGTCCCCGCCGGATCCACTTTCTTGTACCATCTTCGACGTCCAAAGACCAACTACTCCTCCTTCCTTAATATATAACTTTATTAAAAGGTTAGTACTAGTTCTAAATATAAAAACTATCTTATATAATTGTTAATTTTTTAAATTAATTTAATCAAATATTCTCTCAATTCTATTGGTGGATATTTATTTTAAAATTTTAAAATAAATATTGATCAACAAAAATAAGAATATTTTTTCCAAGCTATTTATGTTGTAATTTAAAATATTTTATTAGAATATCTTTGAAGCTTTTAGTGATACATACAAATTTTAAGCACTATAAGATTATTTGTGCTTTTTACTCCTATAAAATAATCATAAGAGATGAGAGATTACTTGGGATGCGTAAAATAATTAATTTTTATTCTTAATTAAAAGGATGCCTCTAGTCATTTGACAACATTTAAAAATTCTAAATTAAGCCTTATGGCCTCATTAGGAATTTGTTAAGACTATAAGCCTTAATTTGGTTTTAGGTATTTCAGTAAGATTTTATTGGGATTCTCCCAAATCTTAAACTGTACTAATTCTCTGTTAAAATAAAATATTTTTTTAAATTTACCCCATTTAATGTATATGCCTTTAAAAAAATAGTTATTTACATTATAAAAATGAAGAATAAAATAATATATTCGTAATAAAAATATAATAAAGTGACTTATAAATAAAATTTAAATTTTTTTATTTTATAAATAAGATCAGATAAGTAAAAGATAAGGATGCTTTTAGATTTTTATCATATCTTAATATGATTAGAAATTATAAATTACCATTTTTTGTCTCCTCATGCAGAGTATTATGATGAACTCGATAAATTGTTCGAGATGCATTTTGAAATGTAAAATGATACGTGATTCATGATGCACGTACTTTGAAAATGTAAAATGTAGGTACATGATAAGAATAAATACGATAGAATTTTTATCCTCACCACTTGCTTACAAAAATTATGGCACTTTACCTCCTTTCATTGTTGAAGATTTCCTATTTTATTTACAGAATTTTAAAATGTTAGAAGATGCAGTCTTCATGATGCGTTTTGAAACGTGAAACGTAGGTACGTGATAAAAATAAGCGTGGCATAATTCCCATCACTGTCAATTAATATTTGATTAGCCTACCTATAAAAATTATAGCACACTCTTTAGTAGTTTTTATCGCAGGTGATTTCTTATTTCATTAAACTATATTTATCCGGTTCTAAACTCAAGACTTATTTTGTAATATAAATTATACTATAAAATAAGTTTTATATTTAAAATCATAAGAGTATATAAGATGATAATATGAGTACTATATTTTATCCCAACATGACAAATATTGTTGTAATTAAGAAAATTTGCCATTGAGAAAATAATTCCGTGGTAGCCTACGCAGAAAAAACAAAAAAGTTTTTGCATGGGTTAAGCGTATATACACCCTACGATGAAGATTTAACTCCTAAGATATTGCAGTTTGTTATAATAATGCAAAATTTCGTCGTGACCTTGCTTTTAAACACTCCTTAAAAATAATAAATAAAAGCACAAAATCAACATTTAACAATAAAAATTATTAAAGAGTCACATTCTTCGTTGGAAATTTCTGGAAAGTAATAAATAAAAAGTCATCGTTTCATAACAAATTACACTTTTTTTTGGTATAATAACAAATTACTCTTTATACACACCGTATATATAGGGACAATTTATTTTTTATGCACGGAAGGAATTTAATTTCAAGATTCCATAGAATAAATAAAGGGACATATTTTTCGCCGAAACAAATAAAGGGACAGATGATTTAAGGCGGGGAACAGGAATATTATAAAACCCTAAATTATAAAACCCGGGGGAAAAAAAAAGGTGGCCAAGAATTTCGGCTCCGCTCGTCATTCTTAGTTATTTTTAATTCCAGTGCCTACTTATTGTCTCTCTCTCCCACAGTCTCCCTCTCTCTTTCTCCCTCTCTGTGAAAGTAGGTTTGAAGAAGATAACTCAGTGAATCCCAAGAAGCTGCATTTGCGGCCATTTCGCGCAATTCAAGCATCCGCTTACGGAAGTCCCCAAAATCTCTTATCTCTACCGAGTTATCTCCCTTGATCCGCTGCAATGGATTCTCGGGAGCCACCTCACTCATCGCCACCGTCCCGCTTACAACATCAACATTCATCAGCGCCACCAAACATTATGATACCTCCTGGTTCTTTCTCCTCCGCCATGCCCAACCCCATCCCTTCTTCCTTGATCAACCCCAATTCCTCGCCCATGCTGATGGCCCCTGCTACCGCCCGATTCCCCTTCACCACATTTGTATCACAATCCCGTTCTCCTCCTCCTCCTCCGCCTCCTCCGCCTCCATCGAAGCCTTCCGAACCTTTAAGCATCACTTCTCCCTACGAAGGCTCCTCCTCTGCGCTGAGGCCCTGCGGGTTGAGTTTTGATTGTCCGAAGAAGAAGAGAGGCCGGCCCAGGAAGTATTCGCCAGATGGTAGCATTGCTTTGGGTTTGGCTCCTACGCCTTTGTCTTCTTCTTCTGCCCCCGCTGATTTGAGTGCCACATCCGGGGAACCACCGGCTAAAAAGAGTAGGGGAAGGCCGCCGGGCTCTGGAAAGAAGCAACTGGATGCTCTTGGTATGTGTTATATGTATATTATTTGAGCGTTCGTTTTTTGCATCGTTCTTACATACTCCTCTTTGTAAATTGATTAAGAACCTGACCTGTTCTGACCATACCAGGAGTTGGCGGGACAGGCTTTACTCCACATGTAATCATGGTGAAAACTGGGGAGGTATGGTAAAAGAGCAGTTATACTGGTCGATTATTAGCCATTGCTCTCGCAAGAATTACCGTCTTTTATTTGCCAGCATTACTGCTAAACTCAGTTGCATACATTTCTTGGTATTCTTGCGAAATGTCAGCATCCCCATAACTGAAAGATGTGGTAATTACTGTCTGAAAGGGACCAACGTTAACGAATGGAGATGAGTTGAGTCGAAAGATTGGTAATTGGATATAGTGGTCCTGAACTCATGATGTCAAATTGGGAAAAATATCGCAACATATATTTTCTTTTTTTCTTTTTAAATTGTCAGGGGATATAAAGCGTAGATTTTTTTTTGTAGATTTTCAAAATTAAAAAAATACTGGAATTCATATGGAGCGATGACACTTTAAACAAGCATGATTGAAATTTTTTTGACTGTGACTTATAATTTGAACCTTTTTATTCTCTTAAATTTCCTATGATAGAAGAAACATTTTCAAGATTTTAGTCCCAACTAGGCATTCAAATGATATTAGAAAACTTATTTTTATTTCCGACTTGAAATTGTTGTATTAGAAAAGGTATCCTTTATTTGCACGTAAAATGGATTTTCACGGACATTCTAATGTTTTTGTATTTCAGCCAACAGTTAATCACTTCAAATTTCTGTGTTAGTATTACTGTCAATCAAGTTTGGGCCAGCTCAATTTATTGATCAATATTGATTATTTAAGACATGCAGAGGTTTGCTATGCTTTCTGGTGAGAGTATTGTACAGTTTAGATTAATAGATCTATGTTCACTGCTGTCATGTATTCGGATACACATTCCATTTTATGATATGTCTTTTGCCTTACTGTGAAATTGATTGATAATAGAATTAACACGCCAACAATCTTTACGTGGATTTGTTTCTTTTGAATGGTGAGGATATGGTCATACATAAGAAACATGATTTAAGATTGGTTTTCTGTAACCAATCATATTTTTCATGTGTGTTTAACATGTGTTTGTATGCGGAACAAATATATTATTCTAATAATGCCCACCTTTTAAGGTTCTACTGGGAGGCTCCACTTGGGGTTGCTCTTGTGACAAGTCTCCTCATTGTTATGCTCCGTTTTGTTTGCAGGACATTGCAGCAAAGATTATGTCCTTTTGTGAACAAGGGCCACGTTCAGTCTGTATTCTTTCTGCTAATGGTGCAGTCTGCAATGCCACCATTCGACAGTCAGCTACATCAGGTGGTACAATGTACTACGAGGTATATCTTATATTATTGCAGAAGGCATTAAGTATTCAATTACTCTTTACAATAAGGCATGCCATTGTCAGGCCAGGAAAAAAAAATGTTATGTATGCTATAAGAAAATGACCTAACGTGATTTTTTTTTTTTGGGGGGGGGGGGTGTTTGTAATGGGGTATTGTTTCCTTAGATATCCTTGGATTGATGGGAATCCAAGTCAACTATCTGAGGGGATTATTTATATATCTATTTTTATTGCATTGACATTGTAAAAATCGTTTGATGTAAAATGAAATGAATTAGACCTTTGCCAGTCTACATATTATTAAATCGCGCCATCCTTCTTGGGGCAAGAAATCTGAATATAATTAATTGCAATAATTAGCTGATTACTTACGGTGAACTAGTAACAGTAACAACAGGAATTTGAGAAGGAAGAGTTTTGTGATGGTGAAAGTGGTGTTTTTATAAGAGCATCTACGGAAGCAGTAACAGGTGAACTAAGTTTAGATATTGCATGAGGGGAGAAACATGGATTGTCTTGGTTTTTGTACCTAGAATCATGTCAAAGGCTTGTGGTTTTTGGTCTTAGATTGGAAGTGGGCAAATTGCTTGAGCAGTTGAGCACAATGTTGTCAGTCCTTGTGTTGTGAACAAGTCATCCTCTTTTTTAATTGTGTGTACTGTGCATTGCAACTATATGTAGAAGCTCCCTAATTTCTGTCCTGTAAGGCATTGGCCTTCCTGGGGTCTAAACAGAAAGAGGGAAAAAAAGAAAAACTCATCTGGGGATCACAAAAGAATTTATTGTATTGCACTGATTTAATTCTTATTTATGCTCTCCCCTCTTTGGTTAAATATTTCTTTTCCCATATAAGTATTCGGAATTTGTGATTTCCTTATTTGTCAACGATGTCATGTGATGCGTGTGTGAAATCTCCATTTCATCTTCGTTTTTTCATTCTGTTTCTCATGTTTTTCCTCACTTCCTCAACTGGCATGGGCATGTAGTTTAATAATGGGCTTAAATTCAATGATCACATCAGTAGTTTTTTCCTGGAGATGGGGGCAGCTAACCTAGTTTATTAGTCTCTTGAAATTGGCATTATATAAATACTTACAATGAGTTGAGATGCTGAATGTCTGAGATTTTTGAGATTGTTATGTTCTTAGATGCCTCTCCATTTGATGTCATTTCACTTTGCAGGGTCGATATGAGATTATATCTATATCAGGTTCTTTCAATCCATGCGAAGACGGTGGTTGTAGAACAGGTGGTTTGAGTGTCACTCTTGCAGCGGCTGATGGAAAAATTGTCGGTGGTAGTGTTTCTGGAATGCTAGTTGCAGCATCACCAATACAGGTATTATTCCCAGTGGCGGAAAAAACTTATTTGCATTCACCTTCATCAGCCCCCTCTGAGCTAAAAATTAGAATAACGTTTCGAGAGCGCATTATGTTTATAAAGGGGAGCTTGGGAACCAGGGAGTATTCTGTGTCTAATGCTTTGTTTTTCTGTGACTGTTTTAATTATTATTAACAGGTGATTGTGGGCAGCTTTATTGTGGAGGGGAAGAAAAAGTCGAGCTCAAAAAAGGAGATATCTGGGCCCTCCTCAGCAGCAACGCCCCCGGGAACTCAAATGCTAAATTTTGGTGCTTCATCTGTGACTCCAACCAGTGCTGCCTCTCAGGGAGTTTCAGGGGATTCTTCTGATGACCACAACGACAGTCCATCGCAGAGGGGATCTGGGTCTGGCACTGGGTCTGGGACTGAGCCTGGCCTCTATAGTAGTGTTAGCCAGCCCATTCATAATACGCAATGGAATCATCAACTATGGACCGGCCAAAATCCACAACGATGATGGCTTTTTCTATTTATTTATTTATTTTAGATTTAAGCTTAACAGTGCAGAAGCAGGGTAATTGCGTGATGATTGTTCGCGGCAGTGGAAAGCATTAACATGCGTCGAAGACAGAATTCACAATATAGTCTGTCTTAAGCTCTGTCTGTTTTTCTTGCTATATGCTTTTTTAAAAGTCAGCTCAATCCATGTCGAAAATAGAAAAAGAAAAGTCAGTTTAGTAGGATTTTTTAGCTCCTAATCGAAACATCGCTAGCAAAGATAAGAATCTTTGCTCGAGGCTTGGGCTGCATTTTAAAATTTCCTTGATGCGGCTTAGGTCCAACTTCAGAAGTGTCGGTTAAGTACGTTCTATCATCATCACATCCTCTGTAGTCTGCACTATTCAAAGTGAGTTTTTTTTTTTTTTTTTTATTCGTAGGTTATAGAAAAGTGAAGAATATTTTGCCTCAAAATTCATTTAATTGTAAAAATTGGCGCGTGTATAAGAAAGCGTTTTCATTCTCTGAACCTGGAGGTGATCTTTTGGTATGTGTAGTGTCGAATTAAGCCATAAGCCTCCTCAGGGCTGTCTCCCACATAACTTGGAAGAGGCAATCCGAGGGCAAAGATCCCCTCCTCCTCAATCTCTTTCTTTGGACTTGCAATTGTAAGGATGACACAGAGCACTGGGCAGCAATGCTTAGAGAAGGAGCGTGAAAGACAATTAAACTTAGCGTAGTCGCCAATTTATGATGTGGCCTCGTGCATGAGATTGCGGAGCTAATCACGCTTTCTGCGGAAAACTGAAACTCCACCACTTGCATTGCGAAATATTCAATCACAAATATCAAACATTCGACGTGGAGGGAAAGGATTTGAGTTTGGATTGGCCTAATTCTGGTGTAGTGACAATATGACCCGATTTTGGTCTGAGAATGACACAGAGGTTGATCAGATTATAAGCAAAGCCATATATAATTAAAAGGGTTTCTAGGGGGTGCTTATAATCTTATCAAGTGGCAACATGATGAGAAGGTTGGCACGTCGCGGTAGGAAGAGTAGGACAGTGTTAAGAGCGTACAATTCCTTACTCGTTTGTTTAGTTTTACGCATTTCACATTCATCCCAATCACATCCTCCTAGCTACTCGCACGCCTCATGCATTCAACTCTTTATACGCGTTTTAACATTCCCATTCACACTTTCTTTAATTTATCTATCTATACTTGTTCCTCATTCCGTACAGCTCTATTCCATTCACACGCTATCCATTTTAAAATTTAGTTGAGATGGCTTTCAAATGTTCGCTAGAGTTAAAAGTGGGGTTCAAACTCAGAGATACTCACAAAATACTAACAAATTATTGACAGATAAGGCCTCTCTTGATTTTGGGGAAAAAAAAAACAAATATTAATATTATTTAATCTTTAATAGCCCTCTAAAATCTAAATGCATAAAACGACGCCCACTTATAATCTAATGCCGTTGAGGAGACAAGAGATGTTGACGTTAATGCGGTTTGTACTTAGCTTGGCATGCGATGCGGAATTGCCCCTGCGAGCTGCCAAACAAGCATATGACTGTTCTCTGATTTTGACCCTCCCAGACTACACTTGTTTCTGGAGTCTTGGACGGCCACGCCCCAACCTTCCTTCCCCCACGCGCCCTTCCCGCTCCCTGATGTTCACGGCCCAACCACTACATCACGCGCTTCCTATTCATATCTCATTACTAGTAGTCCAACGGCTACTTTCTTCTAAGCAAGCGCCAGCACAATTTGACACACCGCCTCTCTCTCTCTTACCGGTTAGTTGGCCTATTCAACATCAATATCAGGATCACCACCTCTCCCTCCATTCATAAAACACCTCCTTCCTCCCAATACTTTTCTTCCTAGTTCTCCCACCGAACCCCACACCTTCCTTATGGATTGCTTGGTGTTGCCGGTGACGTTGATCAGACGGCGCTCCACTAGTTCCCGCCTCGGCTATAGGCCCCTCGCTCACGACGGCTTCGACGAACCCGACGGTCCCGTGACGGTTGTTGTCGGAAAAGAGAAGAGGGTCTTTCTGGTTGAACAGTTTGTGTTGCAGGAATACCCGTTTCGGCTTTTGATGGAGACGGTGACGAAAGGGAAGGTACGGGATTTGCGAGGAGGGGTGATCTTTGTGGACGTGGACGCCATTTTGTTCGAGCACATGTTGTGGCTCTTGCACAATGATTCTTCATCTCTGCTCAACCTCAACCTGAAGGAGATAATTGACTTCTATGCTCAGGAGGATTGTTAAGAGTAAGTCCGTCGGCCGGAAACAGAGGTACTCTGTTTTACATCTGAGAATGAGAGTGCCTCCCTGATTGTGAGAGGCAACGATTTGTTATACTTGTATACATCGTGGCCTGTTTCTTCTGAATAAGCCTGATCTATTGTCTGATCTCCAAACAATGACAACAACAAAAGAGGAAGATAATGATATCGAGTAATAGATGTTATGTAGTTGCTGTTTAATTATGTAATTGACATCCATGTGATTCTACAAGTTCTGCCACACATCCTTTGCGTCGACTTGTTGAGAGCAATTTTAGATAATATCAGGCGTCTAATTGAATTCTCAACCGTAAATGTTGGGGAGGATTCGGTTTCAGATTTTGTTTGAACTCAATCCCGTCCATTTTCAGCCCAGCTAATGGTTGGCCGAATAAACAAGCAGCTAAATAAATTAAGACTAATCCAATCAAAACCGACATCTTAGTTGAATTATTCAAAGTTAATTTTGATTATTTACTCTGTGGAATGAATTTGTCTTCGTTTTTTTTTTTTTTGGATGGGTCCTCACTCCATACACAGTCCAAAAAGGGCCCAAATCTTAATGGGTAAGATATCCCACTCAACATGGCATTACTTAAGATAAGTTGAATCAAACGCCCTGATCTTGATTTGGATTAGACTTGAACTGAGATACTGAAAATCGGACTGGCTTCTGAACCAGTCAAATCACTAAATATTTATGACAACAAAATATTCATATACATAATTTTTTTAAATAACACACATAACTGGGTTAACCACAAAACCGATCGGGTTAATAGAATTTTTACTAGGTTGACATTGTTATGCCAGGTCACCACGGGTCAACCCATTTGCTGTTTTTTTCCCCTACCAATTCGGCCAGTTAGGTGACTAGTTGGCTTGTTTTCAGTCTAATCTGATTTATAATACTATGGCTTGAACCTCCTTCTAAAATTTTTGTTAAATATATATATTGCATGTTATCTAACAACTTACAATTAAAGTATTCTTTAATCAAACTTTATTCTTTAATCACGTCCGCTTACACTTAGCACATAATGGGTTTGGAGCTATACATGTAACTTGAGATAATTATCTTTTAAAGAATTCCTTAAAAATAGTATTTTCTTTAAAAAAAGAAATCTTAAAAACTTGTCCAAAATTGGTGATTAAATCACGGGCTTGTACAAAATTGCCGGGAGCAAGATTAGTTATTAAATCATGGACTACCTGAAAACATATGATTAGAGCTGGATGGGTGAAGTGGAATTTGTAGGGTGACCAGATCATATTACTCCTCCGATCCTTAATATAAGACCTATTTAACTAATTTGATTAGATTAAGGAAGTTAGGTAAGTTACTTAATTATAAAAAAAGTGATACATTTTTCCTAAAACACCATAATTATCTTTCTTAATATCTCTTCTCCCTCTTCTATTTAATTATGGTTGAGGGAGTATTGGTAGGAGTAATTTAGAGAAAATTGATAAATATGAGAAATGAGTCATATATTTAGAACCAAAACCAACTCAAGAATTGGGTCCTATATTTAGGACCGGATGAGTATATGGCCTATGAGTCTGAATGGACTTGGGCCTATATTTTGGGATATTGGGCTTGCTTCTAGAAGGACTGTCCGAACCTTGTCTCCTCGATGCCTTGTTCCAATACAATACAATCATTCTCAACTTGAATTTACCAATCGACCCCGAGAATGTTCCTGGGGCCTGATCGATACAGAGCGGAAACAAACCATAGAATGGCGAGGAAAAAACTTCTCTTTTTCCTTAACCTCTTTTATTACTCTTTTCATCTACCAAATAATAAATTAAGGTTCAAATTCTTTATTAGAAAAAGTATTTATATTTAGTACTAACTAATACCCCAAACAAAAGAATACTCCTTCCGTCCCTTATTATAAGATCCTTTCAACTAAATTGTGCAGTTTAAGAAAGCAGTTAAAATTAGTTAAAAGCAATTAATATGTAACAAATATAAATTTTTTTCTAAATATACCTCTATATATAAATGGGTAAATGTGAGAGACTAATAGTGAGATAAATGAAGAAAAAAATACATTAAACGCATTAAATTAGGGATAAAATCGGTAATAATGTATTAAATGTTTAGACAAATTTAAAGAGGATCTTATAAAAAGGGACAAATCTATCAAAAAATTAGATCTTACAATAAGGGACGGGGGGAGTATTGTGATTGCCTCAAGAGATTGTTGTTTAACTTGAGCAGCATGACATCCCAGGAGTTTCAAGGGAAGGAGAACCGAATCCATGCTTCGGTGCTGGCCATGACGGCATGAAGCTTACTAATTTTAATTTCTAATCCATTTCACAGCTCTTGCATCTTCAAATCTTCCTAAAGGCACGTCGGGACGCTGTTCAGTAGGAATTATATTAATGCCAAAAAGAAAGGCATGAGTTAATTTGTGGAAAATACGTACTCATGCTTATTAAAACCAATTTTTACTTCTTATTTCTATAATCATTTCATGATAGCTCAATTAAACAAATCATATGAGCATAGATAACAAATGGTGATAAAAAATTATGGACACCATATCTTAATTTAAAATTTTTGTCCTGCCATGCACAGTTACCTGCCTGCCAGAGATAACTTTATTCTGAGCTGACAAGTACTAAATGTAGGTATATCTCTGAACAGAGATTTCAATTTTTTTTTCTCTAAAGCGTAGGTATTCTCCTATTCGAGACAATCCTATTCGAAGCACTGTCAGGCGCTGAATGTGGGAACCTTTCCTAGAGAGGATTCAAATATTGACTGTCACGTTGTCAGGGACTAGCCCCTTCTACTAGACTTAACTCTCGTTAGTAGGTTTCAAAAATTTTAATATTTGAGTTTATGAGGTTTTTTATTAAGCCCAGTTTTATCCAACATACATCGGCCCAAATGCACTTTCACTTTAATAGTAAACTCCGTGGTACTTGGACATCATTGTCACTTCGGCCCGATCATGCAACAATGACAACGCCACCATAAAAAAGAGTGTCCACCAAAACGTGGTTATGCTTAATTAATCACTCGATGTGGGATGCATTATTAATTAAATAGGACACACAGCCATGATTTGATATCCAAAAAGAAGAAAAAGAAAATCAATAGAGCTATAGTAGTATTATATTATCCAGATAAAGAAGTTGACAGCCTAAAAATCAACATAAAATGATATTATATGCTGCACAAAACGACGACTTGGTCAGTTCTGTTGTCATTTAATTAAGTTTCATGATCATAATTAACTCTAATCAGTATTAATCAACCATGGCGGTATTGTATGTATATGTGTATTCATACATATAGGTATACCCACTGTCCACACACAAATATGTTGGTGGAATCTTTATTCGCCACCTTTGCTGGCATTAACATTATATGGTTTTAAAATATTTGAATATATTCCTTGAGATTGTTAATTCCTTGGGGGCAGTTTAGGTGGTGTGTGTGTGTATCCAGATACTTTGTCTCGCAGTGAAATGATTCTATTCGGTTCAATAATTTTGATCTGTAGGAAAATAGGAAAACACACACAAGAGATTTCTCACAATATATATGCATGATCAATATGATCACCGTCTTGTGTGAAAAGAAGTTAATTTAAATGTTCATTATATCTCAAAAAGGGTCGACGATTGTTTTCATTTTTTTTGTGAAAAAAAAAAGTTCAGGGCTTGAAAAGTCTCTACTTATTCACTAAAAAAAGTCTTTATACCTAACCAAAAAGGGTTCGGTTTGTTATGTCCATGAACTATATATTTCCGAGAATTTAAAGCATTATAAGATCGGTATGGGGACGGTATATACAGGAGATAATTTATGATTGCATCTGCCTGGAACCCATATATTGAGATGCTTTCTAGTTGTTAAATGGGATAATCCACTTAGCCTAGCTTATATTTCCCCTGTTCGTTTTTTAAAGATACATATAAAATCACGCAGATATATAATATGACTAAAATTATCACCAAAAAAAAAACATGACTAGAACTACTTAAATCCAATAAATATGTTAAAAGTGTAAATTTAAAAAAACAACAGATTTATGCTAGTCATTCAGGTAATTAACTATCACCTGATGGATGTTAATTAATTTCGAGGAATTCCAAGATACAGAGAAACAGTACCATGAATTTAATTTCATTGTTAACATTAAATAAATGAGCATGACAAGAGCATACCACTTTGGTCTTTATTATTTGTTATTTGTAGAAATTTTCTACATATCAAGAAAAGACTTAAATAGATAAAATCTTCCACTTTTGTCCTTATTAAGGAGAGCATTAAATGTTAGTATATTTTCTTTTACTCATTCCCTCTCTCTTTGCCTTTACTGTAATTAATAGAGGTAGAATTGAAAACGAACCATTAAAAAGGATACAAATGACAAATAAAAGGGACCAAAATTCTCTCCTACAAGTAACAAATAATAAGTGATAGTAAAAAGAAGATTTGACAAGGCTAAATCAAAGAAATGCATGATATATATATATATATATATATATATGTGGTGTGATAAGGAGGAGTATGTCTCTATTATAAATACAGGGCTTACTGTTAATGGATATAATTTGATACTCCTTCTATCCTTAATATAAGACCTATTTAACTAATTTGATTAGATTAAGGAAGCTAGATAAGTTAGTTTATTATAAGAAGTATGACATTTTTTTTCTAAAACACCATAATCATTTTCCTTAATATCTCCTTTCCCTCTTCCACTTGATTATGGTTAAGAGAGTATCTATAAGGGTAATTTAGAAAAACTGATAAATATAAAAAATATGTCTTATATTTAGAATCAAAATTAGTACAACAATTAGGCTTTATATTAAGGACCAAAAGAGTACTAAATATAAGATCTTGATTTATTTTGTTTTTCTCATATAATATATTTTACATATTATCTTCATTAATGTCATAACTATTCTCACTTTCATTGTTTCTCACATTTAATACCCTCTTATATAATAATAATAAATAACCAACTTAATTATTATTTTTTTTAATTTTTGAAAATCAGTTAGTTGGGTTTTATATTTAAAAATTGGAGGAGTATATCGTCATTTTCCCCCGTCTGAAAGAGGCTAACAAGGAGCAACTGGCTTGGAATTAAAATCAAAACCAAATCAAATACGCCATTACAATTACCGCGGCGCTCATAGAGTGAGAGGCAACATTGGACTGTTGGAGTGTTGGTGGCAAACCTCTGGGATATTATTGGCAGCATATTCCCATTCTTGAAAGCAAATTATCAAGTGCTCTATGGAATCAAATTCAAATTATTCTCTGCGTTTGGATAATGAAGTGGCAATTAGGAATTAATATTGTGTAATCAAAAGCATGGTAAGGCTTCAGCTTCCCTATTGGGTGAAATAAAGGTCAGAACTTCGACATCAGAATTTTTCATAGACAAAATTATATGTAGTGGAGAATATTGCAAAGTCAGCTCACATTACAATACTTAATCTTAATTATAGCCGCCGTTAACCTCTCTAGCTAGCCATACCTGACCTAACCCCACACACTTTGGGCTAAATATATAATCGCCCTTTCCCTCACTTGCTTCACACATATATTCAAATATAGGTCGATCTAATTTATACTGTTTCAAGCCACCGAAAATCATTCAGATAAACCAACTTATCGTAATTTTAAATATAGAGTTATGTCTCCAGTGTCACTACATAATTCATTTCAGATTCGTTCACCACTCTATCTACAGATGACAGATATTTTTATGTATGTGTTTGGAGTCTGATCATGAGCAGATTAATTAACAGAATAATTCAACCAAATACCAACATTCTACTAGCTAATTAATAAGCAAACTGGACTACCAATAGAAGTTCGATAATTGATTCTGACCTGACGCTTTCCAAACAACATATTAATTTGACCTTGATTATCATAATTCAGTGTTTATTAGCTAGCACTGAACAGATATTGCTTCGTGGACAGGTGTGTGTTATATATATATAGCCACCAAAGAAAAAATGATGGGGTAGCTTAGCATTCAGCAGGAGATGTGTGTATATGATGTGTTTTGTGTGTGGCTCTAAAGATTTTTAAACAAGGTGTTATATTATTCCATTTTCGTTTCCTCGGACCTCTAAATATATGTATTCGGAAGAGAGCCAGCATATCAGCATCCCTGTTAATGGAAGAATTACTAGTTTGATGAAGAAGATATATATAGGCTGAAATAAACCCTTTTGCCAGTTCATATTCGTTTTCACTGTTTTATATATATATGGGACTCATAATAAAAGAACCCAGAAAAGGACCACACTCAGTTCTAAAATCCCTACACAAATATATACATATATATGTAGACACACACTTAACATAAACACATTTAATTATATAACCCATTATAATAACCTAGTGAAACTAGACCTTTCATGTCATCGTGAAGAAGGGGGAAATTATATTAGATTGTACTATTATATATAGAGAACAGAAACTTGTACTCCTGTAATGAATATGAAATGGGTAAGATAAACGAGGGGAAATCTAAGGAATCAAATAAAAATGGGTAACTTGCTACTCGTTATACTAATTATATTGAGGCTTTATGGCTATCAACAACTATAAGGAGTTGTTTAAAACGTGCAGCTAGCACTAGTGATCTGATGTGTGTGATGCGGGCAAAGCTGCAAGTACGCCTAAATTAAATCCTTAAACACCAATTTTAGAAGAAGAAACCCATTAGCAAATTAAACATGAGTAATAGCAGAGTTACAGGATGATAAACCCAAAAAAAAAACCAATGAGGAGAGACACTAATTAAGTAGAAGTACAAGTGTACAATGTAACTCAAACGCACCCGACGGACAAGTGAACTACATCAACAGCACAAGCACATATAAAGTGGAAAATAAAGACGAGAGGAAGATAGGGAGAAGGAGGAGGAGGAAGAAGAAGAAACACGGAGAAAGCTAAGGTCATATCTAAATCATAGCCCATGAATTTTCTGACCTCTTGAGCTATATAAAGGTATATATACGCATCCAATGCAGTTGGCCATTGCTTCAAGGAGACCAATTTGAGGTACGTATAAGATGAGAGAACTGTGTTGAGGTGAATTGAGGTTTGACCCGTGGATGAATTGGAGGTCAAAATGGAGGACGAGGGGCTGCGTTGCCGGCCCAGCCTTCCACGGGAACCTGCATATTAAGGGGCAAATTGAAGAAGGGTAGACCGGAGGATGGGTCCGAGAAAGTCGCCGCCGCCGCCGATCCTTGAGAAGCAGCCGCAGGTGGTTGCATCTGGAGTTGCTCCTCCTGCTCATCCAGCGGCAACCTCTCATACGCCACGTTCGTAAACGAAGACGCGATCACCATGACCGGTCCTGCTGCCATCAACTCTCCCACCACGCATCCTCCCACAACTTGCCCTTGCCCTCCCGCCAAGTACACAGTCAGGCTCGTCGCACCTGGCGGGGCCGGCGGTGGCAGGAACGACCCCGACAGTGACAATATCTCGAACCTTCCGTGAAGGGTGACCACGGCTCCTGCGGCAGCCGGCTGCCTCAAGGTCACATTGGTGACGGTGCCACTGCCGCTCAGAATACAGATCCCACGCTGTCGGCGACGTGCGTAGGTGGCGACGGAGTCAAAGACATCAGAGCCACTGGCGACTTCTAGAATATGAGCGCGGAGGGTGTTGGCGCTTTCTCTGGTGATGATGACGGGTGGTTTCGGCTTGTTCTTTGAACCAGGAGGACGGCCCCGTGGACGGCGAGCGACGATGTCGCCGGGACCTCCGGAGGCTGAGGCGAGCTCGAGGCCTTGGTGGGGACCATCTTCGGAAGAAAAGGGGGCAGCCCGATTGCCATCTTCTTCGGAATCGGGTTGGTGGGACTGCTGCTGAAGGTGCAAGTCGGGTCTGTGAAGATTTTGAACAAAGCGAGCAGTGCCTAAATCCAGACCAGCCATATACACATCAAAGAGGGAGACAGAAAAATTATTACAAGAAAATGAAAACAAGGGGGAATAATTAATTTTATTACGGATATATTAAATTCTATCTAGGATTAAGAAGGAGCAGTGTTTTTAAAAAAGAAGGATATAAAACCGATCTGAGCCGCTTTTGTTTATTTTAAGAGGAGTGGGAAAATTTTATGCGAAGAAAATGAGGAAGAAAGGAAAGCGAGAGAGGAAGGAGAGAGAAGGGAGGGGTGGGGGAAGTTGAAGAAGGTTGGAACTGAAAAAGAGACGAAGATTTAAGAAAAGATATAAAACAAGAACACAGGAGTGGCGGAGGATGGAGTGCAGAGAAAGAAAAGGAAGAAGAAGGTCAGACTCAGAGAGAGAAGGGAAGGGAATGGAAGGGGGGAGCGAGAGAGAATTAGAGAAGAGAAGACGGAGACAAATGACTCTGCGCTCTCTCTTTTTTTTTTTTTATGCAGCCAAAAGCTTTAGATAAGAGCACATTAAATAATGATTAGTTCTCGTTAACCAAGCATATTTATTATAATTATCGCCAAAATCTCTACCCCTTCCTCTTCCTACTTTTCCATCCCATCCTTAATCCAACAATCATAATTATAACCATTGTGTTCATTTTGTGCTTCAAAGTAGTATGACCTAATTATACAAATCAGCTAGACCTATCCGTTAAATTTATAATTAAAAAGATTGATGAACTGGTTGTGAAATCGATTTATTTGACCCTAAATTTTAACTTATAAACAATTAATTTATGTTTAAACATTCTTAATCCAAACAATAGAAAGGTGTCATATCTAACAGGAGAATGATGCATTTGTTTGAAAAGTTGTCTACTGGTCATTAATTACTGTAAGATTGTTAGAGAGATTAAAATCCCCATGCAAGCATCGTATAAAACTAAGGGGGGAAAAAGCTATAATATTCAAAGTTTGCGGACACTACTATTTATTATAGATTCTATATTTTATATGAATTATATATATAGTTGAATGATGTTATTGTAATATATTAAATAAGCCCCTGTTCGCAAACTTGATTCTAAATATAAAAGATATATACATGTAAAGTTTTTCATAATAATAAAAAACAAGTAAAAGAACAGGATAATTTGATATCGAAATAATAAAAATATATTTTTCATTTTTATTATTTGAAAAGGGCCTTAATGTTACTCTTCTGGTCCTTAATACAGTACCTAATTATTGAGTTAATTTTTGTCCTAAATATAAGACCCATTTCTCATATTTATCAATTTTCTCTAAATTACCTTTATGGATACTCCCTCAACCATAATCAAATATAAGAGGGAGAGGGGGTATTAAGAAAAATGATTATAGTCTTTTTGAAAAAAATGTGTCACTTTTCTTATAATTAACTAACTTACCTAACTTCCTTAATCTAATCAAATTAGTTAAATGAGTCTTATATTAAGGATCAGATAAGTATTATTCAGGTGGGCGCAGAACAGGGGATGAGCAAGTTGGGAGGGGTAATTACTGCGATGCGTGAAGCTTGCACTGAACGCGACGTTGAAATAAATTAATCACTCCTGAGCTCAACCTCAACCCCCCACGTCTATGAGTATTTTACTAACACATCTTTGGAAGGAGAAAAAGAAAACATACATATGAAAAAATATTATTTTCATTATACTACCGGAGCGCTCAAGGTTTTGGTTGAAATCTTGCTTTGTTTTTAATATCATTCACAGCTTTGTACCTCCCATCATACACATACAACTGTTCGGTGGTTAATATAGGAGTAGTTAGTTAAATATTCAATTTGATTATAAATATAAAATTTTAAATTATTTTATCTCAAATATTTATTCATTTTGCCTTCAAGTAATCTTTTATCAATTGTACATATTACGGAGTTTTCATGAAAGAGTAACTTCGGCGCACATTATTGTATGGAAGAGTATATATATTTATTATCAATAACAATTTAATTAATTTTTTTAATATCTGTAAATTAGTTATCTAAATTTTATATTAAAAATGGAAGGTATACATGCATGTTGACATGTTGACATGTAAGCATTTTTTAACGGATTAAGATATACATTGTCTAATTTAATTTATTCAGGCAGGTTCATTATTCTCGTCATGGAAATTGCTTCTGTTATGTCCTATAATGGTGTCTATCATGTTAGAATTTTTGCCTTTATATTATTTTAATTTCAATTTGTTTTGTGGGCAATGGGATCTTGCTAGATCTGGGACATTGCTTTGTTTTGTGACTTGTTCTTTATGGTTTGTCAAATACTACACAATATATATATGTGTATATATATATATATATAGTAATCTGTGTATGTCCACTCGGGCGGAGCCAAAAAAATATTATAAATTTGGGATTCACAACTTCATCTCACAAATATTGTTTAGTTTGAAACCAGTTCAGCTTTTCTATTAAATTTGTCAAAAATTTATATTTTTTAAAAAATATTATTATTAAATTTAAGAATAGTGACTACGTACTCATAGTATTTAATTGCAAATAGAGGCAAATCAGGAAAAAATAATGAATGCTTTAAATATTATCAAGCGAGATTTATATTTTAAATAAAAAGTAGAAAATATAAGTTGATATTCTGAACAACAGAGAGTACGCCAAGATGAATGAAAGCACTCTATAATAATATTAAGAAAAACGGCAAATAGAATCACTCTCAGCTGTCCCTCTGAGACGCTGGTATGAGATCTTTGTATAGATTCCAGTGCTTTTCTCCTGAATTATATAGTTGCCTACAAAGTCAAACGTAATTAAGAACGCATAAATAATTTGTTGGATCCAAAGATATAAGTATTTATTACTGGTTTTGTTGGACATCGTTGCTATTTAAGAAGTCAATATATACTACATGTGTGCCTATAATAAACAAGAAAGGAGCAAATAAGAAGAATAATAGTCGAAAACTAAAAATAAAACAAACTGGTGCTTTTAAAACAGCCGGAGAGGGAAAGAAAGATCGAGGAAAGTCACTGTTGTTCTGTTTTGTTGTCGGAGGAATACAAAATAATATATATAAAAAAAAAAGTAACATTATGATTGTATCCATTATAAGTAATAATCCAACAAGGATATCTTTTCCTTAACTATAAATAGACTGAGAGTTAAAAATTAAAAAAAAAAAAAAAGAGTTCTCTCAGCTCATGTTATTACATGTACGTACATTTTGAGAGAATCAAATTGAAAAAAGAATACCCAAGTGCCACTCTTCCTCAATATTTATATATGTGAATCAGTGTTGTGTCCTCAAGAGTTCAAAAAAAAAAAAACCCAGAGAAATTAAAGCAGATAAGTGATAATAATCAAAACTTTTATTTTATTAAATTTTAGGATGAGGATGGAGGTGGGGAGAGAGAGATATAATGACACAATAATTGAGTGACATGAAGGAGTGGGTGAGTGGGACAAAGGATTAAGGGAGATGCTTTTAATTTGCTGCTCTCTCGGTCCTATACCAAAAAATGTTTATTACCAAAATGTTATATACTTGATTAATTATAACTATTTACCATATATTTATAACTCAATCTGCATGATATCAATGCTATAATACTTTACATACATACGTATATATATGATGTTGATTATAAGTTGATTTATATTATATAAAGATCGATATAAATATAATTGTTTCGATATATAAATGCTGCATGTATTGAAATTAAAATATACATAATTAGGTTTGTATTTTAATTATTTTAATTTAAAATATATACTTTTCATAAGCTTACGGCCATCTTAACCAAGTATCCTAAACTATTTCAGTGATATGGATAAATTCAAATGTATGCCGTTACAAAAACTTAGCACTTAAAAGCCTAATGTTTGTAGGTTATTGATGGTTTGTTTGAGTTATTGATGGTTTATATATAGACAAACCCGGATTTAAGTTAATATACTGCCTCTACTCAGAGCTAGATAACTTCTTTTTTTTAACCTGAAGAGCTACATAACTAAATTAAAAATATTAAAAAAATTAGTTAACTAATTATTTATAATAAATACATGTTGTTTTTTCAAACTACCATATTTAGTCATATATGCATTGGGATAACTACCATTGGAGAGAATCCACACATTCATTTTGTTGAAAAAATTATAAATTTGAGAATCAAAATGGATTGAAATTTTATATTTAAAACTAAATTTAACTTTCTAACTCACTAGTATATTAAGGACAGAAGGTAATAATAACCAAATAGATATGTCTTCCCATTCTATTTTACAGCCAGCATCTCTTCAACTTTATTTATTTTTAAATATTACTACCTCCGGTCCTAATTAATTATAAGACCTCGTTTGACTTTTATTTTGATCCTAATTATAAGACCTCAATCCACTTTGTCTCTTATATTTATTCATTTTTTTCAAAGTAGTTCTTGTAATAATGGTAGTTCTAGCCAATATACTTGATTAGCAAGAATGTTTTAGGGAACACAACACCTATTTATTACAAATAACTAATTTAATTAGTTTTCTTAATTTATTCAAATTAGTTAACTAGCTCTTAGATTAAGAACTGGAGGTAGTAATTTGCAAAGAAGATGTGGCTTGCCTAACCCATGTATGAGCCACTAATTTAATCAACACACACAAATATAAAATATAGGGGTTAGAGAGAAGTCTCATACCACAAAGTCTCTTTAGGTATCAATTAGCTAGCCACTTTTTTCATACTTTGGTTGCAACCAAAAGTTGAATCTGCTTACCTCATTACTCCATTTAATCTGCGTATATAAATGAAAGTTCAACCATAAGTGTGCTTTACCCTGTGGAAGTGTTCAAATATTAAATTGAAAACTTCCAACTTTTCCTCCTTCTATGTTGTGTCACCAAAATTAACCAGACTTATTATAACATGGTTTGAGGCAGTACTGCTTTAATTAGTGGAGCACTGACTAGGTGATATATTAGTTAAGTGAATCTTAAATAATTTAATTCGCATGAAGTTACTAAGATAACTACTTTATGTGGCTGCCTCTGACTTATACTTTTGGGCTGCCGTCTTAATCTATCCAAGGAAATGAATTAAGTATGATGCACTGATTAATTAGTTTGTTGCTCTGATTAAATTATCAGATAAGCAATGGGGGGAACATGAATAAGTTTGGAACTTTGATAACATGGCTTCTTAGCTAGCAGTTTCGTAAAGGCAGACCAAAAAACAAATAGACATTAATTTGTGCCATCACCCATCAGGATTATTCTCTAGTTAGGTAGCAGTTTGATGTGTTTTGATACTATAGGACGCCTGGCAATTTCGGCCATTCCTTTTTATTAAACCCAAATATGGAAGATATGACCAATTTTTAGGGAGATTAATTATAGTATGAGAATTCAATAATAATCACCCCTTAGCTTCAAGGAG